GGTCAGGCTGGGTTAGCTGCTGCCAGAGTCCCCAATGGATGACTCTGCTTAACTGTTTAAAAAAGCCTCTAAAAAAAACGCAGGAGGCAAGAGAACCACATGCCTTGTCTACATAAGGAATTTTTTGGCTTTTAACCCTTGCTTAACTCTGCTCGAGGGATCATAAAATTAGACTAAATGAGGCACGTGGTTCTCCCGCCTCCTCCTGTAGAGGGCACTTTTTAGAGGCATTTTTAAATAGTTAAACACTAAGCAGAGTCATCCACTATGACTCTGGCAGCAACTATCTCAGCCTTTTTCCTTTTACATTTTTTTTCTTTTCATGATGACAGTAGTGAGGGTCTGCCTCCCCTGCCTGCACGTCACTGGTATGGGTACTGCAACAATAGTAATATAATATTTAACTACCTTATTAACTCCATTTTGAATCTATGTGGTTCAATATGAATTAATTTAAATGGTAACATATTTCAAGTTTTTCAATCTTTCTTAAAATTTCTACCTGAGAGCTTTAAATGAAAATGGCATCTTCCTTCATATTCTTTTGAGTTCTCTTAATTCTATACACATATATATTATTGGAAGAACTACATGGCAGTTTTTTCTACAAGGTAGTATATAGTATCCATAACCTTTCATCTTATATAATGTAATTTATTTTATTATTATTATTGGGTTTTACAGTCAGACTCTGACAATGATCTGGTTGGCGATTCCTGTGACACCAACCAAGACAGGTAAGTTAAAGTTTACTGTAATATGCATTGTGTTTCTCAACCTCAGCAACTTTAAGATGTGTGAACTTCAAATCCCAGAACCGCAATTTTGAATCACAAAATCAGGGAGTTGGAAGGAGCCATGCAAACCACTGAATCTACTTTACTCAGAGCAGGAAAACAAATTAAAATTCCCAGAAGACGACTGTCTAGTTTCCATTTGAACAAACCCAATAAAGAGACATCCGCTCTATGTATGTCTAATTGGTTCTGTTGTAGGAACTGTTCTTGGAATGTACATTAACATTTTTTCCCTCAAAATGTTTGTCTTTGAGCGAAGTGAAATGAAGTTGTCCAAATCCATGACTGGAATTGTTATCTCTTTGATTTTTTTTTTGAAAGGTTTCCCAATGGGACAAATATTCAAGTATAATTACAATTACAGGAAATAACATTTCTGCTCTACTTAGCATTGGTCACAACCCACTCTAAGTCATGTCTCTTCTTCACCTGATTACATTTTAAGAAGGGTTCCTAAACTGAAAAGGGCCCAATGTAGGACATCTGAGATGACCAGGGATGGAAAATAAATTCTACAGGGAAATAAATAGAAAAATTGGATGCGTTTAGCCATGCCGGAAATCTATTGAAGAAGGATAAGGTAGTACTTTAGGGATATTTTTTTCTCTCATCACAGAATGTACAATGCAGAATTATGATTCAGGAAAGTGGATTCTGGATTCATGTTAGGGGAAGCTTCTGAGGGCTCAGAACAGAGCAAAAGACATTTTCAATATTTTTTTTTTCAGTGGAAGAAGCATACCATTCGTTCTGCTTCATGTAGAAAATAGAATCGCCAACTAAGAAGATGCCAAAAAAGAAGGAAGCAAACAGAACAAAAAAACCACTCTGCTTTAATTTTGTGCAAAAAAAAAAAAAAAAAGGATACTAAAGTCATGAGCATCTGAGAGAGCAGAGGAACAGATAATGAAATATTAAATATGAGCCAGCATTGTGTGTGCAGCAGCTGCCAAAAAAGCCAACACACTTCTAGGCTGCATAAACATAGGGATAGAATCAAGATCAAGTGAAGTGTTACCACTTTATAATGCCTTGGTAAGGCCACACTTGGAATACTGCANAAACTCACTTAACAACGCTCTTGCTTAGCAACCAAAATGTTGGCTCAGAAACTCTGGCATTTGAAGTACGCAGGTTTTTAAGCTGTCAAGTTACAAGACCCTTGCACCCCTAACCCTTTAGAAAAAAAACCCCCAGGGGTGTTCAAACTTGATAGCTTTAAGACTTTAAGGTTTAGATAGGACTCTTAGAGGCAGGCGGGGTGATTGGTGAGCCAGCCAATCAGTGAGCGGTGGGTGGGGCAAGCATGGTGCGGACGGGCGGGGGGAGGGAGTTGGAACCGGTTCTAAATGGCACTGTAGATTTGTGGAACCTCTGCTATAGAAGAGGTTAGAACTGGCAGAAACCCACCCCTGTACATGCACAACCTGAGAGTCCTAGATTCTTAATTCCTGCTCAAAGAGTAGGTGGTGATTGTGGCTATGAGGATCCATTTGGGGAATTGCCATTGCATCCAGTACCAACAATGGAATCTTTATGTTCTAGGTCTAGGAGGACATAAAACCCATGACCATTTGGTCTTTCCTAAGGATGGTAACAAAAATTGAGTAGGGCCAGGATGGATACACCACCTTCATACTGATCCTACCAAGTCTAATCCCCAAGTGATATCTTTCTGTCTTTCTATTTAAAATAATATTGCATATAAACATATATAAAAAGCAAGTCAAGTAATTTGAAAGACGTCTGCCCAGTCAACTCATTCTACATTCTATCTAACTGGCTATCCTAACTGTTAAGATGTGGTAGAGCAGCGGTGAACAATCTTTTTATAGCAATGTCCAATATTTATTTTTCCTCCCCCCGCTCTCCCAGCCATGGCATAATTTATCCATGTCAGAAACTGAAAAAAACACCAATCTTCTTTTTACATGGATGGATTCAAATAGTACTCATCACAGTGGTTTAAGAAAACCTTTCCTTATTTTTGCCCTGCTGCCAAGGGGGAAAAGAAACCCGAGCCAAAGTTATGGTGCCAAAAATTGGTCATTGTGCTTGAATTTCTGTGTTCTGGTCTGGGGGAATACACTTGGACACATTCCCCCCCCCCGGACCTCCCCCATTCTGGTGTTTCGGTGATCATAAGGTAACATTAATTATGTGTGCAATTTTATTCAGGGATTAAGAATGTTTTGGACAACTGTCAGAAAGTAGCCAACTGGGAGCAGAAAGATAAAGACAATGATGGTGTTGGCGATGCATGCGACAGCTGCCCCGATATCAGCAATCCCAATCAGGTGAGCAGATAGCTGGTGCATCTGCAAAGACATCAGTCCTCAGTGGAATTAAACATGAGAATTACAAATTGCTATAAGGTTTCACATTTATTAGTCTTACTTCAGGCTTGTAAAAAATATTTTACAAGATGTATTCAAAGCCATTACAATTACATTCAAAGTTGTGAATGCTCCAACATTGGAAGTTTTTAAGAAGAGATTGGACAACCATATGTCTGAAATGGTATAGGGTTTCCTGCCTAAGCAGGTGGTTGGACTAGAAGACCTCCAAGGTCCCTTCCAACTCTTTTATTCTATTCTAACATTTATGTAGCTGCCCATCTTAAAATAACTCTGGGCATCTCGCCACCAGTAAAACTGTATAAAAACCAGCTTAAAACAATATATAGGTATGGGTCAATGACGTGCAGTGAGGTTTATGGCTGGTGAGGCAAAAAGAAAAAGTGGCTTTTGCCCGCCCCGCCTCTATGTCGGACATAGCAGTGGGGCACCCAAAAGACGCTTTCTTGAAAGAGGCTTTTGCCCGCCCCGCTGCTATGTCTTCTCAAAACAAGCCGCTTTCTAGAAAGAAAGAAAGAAAGAAAGAAAGAAAGAAAGAAAGAAAGAAAGAAAGAAAGAAAGAAAGAAAGAAAGAACCAGTCTGCCAGCAGAGGTGGGTAAAAGACCCAGCTCTGCTGGCGGACTGCCCCGGCACAGAGAAAGAAAGCTGGCGGGCTGCCCTCCCTGCCTCTCCTACCTCCTTCCCTCTGAGTGAAGAAACGAACACACACATGTGCGCACATACACACACACACACACACACACAAATTACTTACAATTACTAACAAATTACATTAATTTTGAATTCCTTCCCCTCCCTCTGACCCACATACCTTTTCACAATCACAGAGGATTTCAACTCTGGTCTTGCCTGCCATCATGAAAATGTAAAAATATAAAAGGAAAAAGGCAAGAGCTGCTGAGGTCAGGCTGGGTTAGCTGCTGCCAGAGTCCCCAATGGANGTCTTCGGACAGTGCTGGCTCTTCGGCTTTGAAACAGAGATAAGCACCACCCCCTAGGGTCAGAAATGATTAGCACATATGTGCGAGGGGAACCTTTACCTTTACCTATGCATGTAGAAATTCCAGGGCCTACAAACTCATTCAGAAGACACCAGAAAGCAAAGGCTGATATACAAGGACAGGAATCAAATTCTTTTTTAATTTTGGTTGAAAAAGGAAGAATAGGAAGGAGTGTGCCCACAAAGACTTCTCCAACGTTGTTTTCATTTTGTAATACTTTTGCTCACAGTGTGGCATTGGCTGGGCTGGTGATGGCTTTCTGTGTGGAAAAGATGTTGATATTGATGGCTATCCAGATGAAAAGCTTCCATGCTCGGCTGACAGCTGCAAAAAGGTTAGCAGTTTGACAGAGGCCTGGGTGACAAGATGAGTATGTTTCATGCTTGTTTCATGTTTCAAAATTTTATCAAAGAACTGCTGAAAAAAAGAGAGAATTGAAAAACTTTTGTGATATAGTGAAATGCAGTATGTATTCCTCCTATTGGTGCTACTTGGTGATTACCAACACTGCAATCCATCTCATCTGATGGCACTGGTTGGAAAAGGATGCTCTATTGTGTTTACTTTGTAGGACAACTGCATGTTTGTTCCAAACTCTGGACAAGAAGATGCTGATGGAGATGGTGTGGGAGATGCCTGTGATGATGATGCAGATGGGGATGGTATTCCTAATGATCAGGTACTGGTTAGCAACTGGTGTATTTTCTATAATAAAGCAACACTGCTACCAATCTGGACAACAGGCCATTGTGTCAAAAAATTAGTCCACCTCTATGTTGATTTTTACCATCGAGGTACCAGCAATTTTGGCACTTCTAGAGATTAAAAGTACATTTTATGCAATAGTATAAATAGACCATGTCGGCTAAACATGGTAAGAGTAATTGAGGATGAGTGAGCATTTTGTCCCCCCGAAGTTGCAATTAAAAAAAAGAAGTTTGAAAAGGGCATTTCTATTCTGAAATCACAATGTATTTTTTTAACTAAAAGTTACTTTTTCTTTTGTACTCCCAACTACAAAAATTGGGCCACAAGAATCTGATTAAAGAAAGTGAGTGATTCTCAGTGGGCCTATTCTTTTGCTGTTAACACTATGCAAAATCTTCAGAGGCTATAAGATGGGAAGTGATAACATGTGTTAGATTTGACGTTCCAGTAATTGTAAAGGTTTCTGCAGCTGTCCATGCTCTGGGTAACAGGTAATGCTCTTGATATTTAGCCTTGTTTTCTTAAACAAAGGAGAAGCTTGACACGGGAAAACCAAGGGGGACAAGTGATGTCACATACATTATTGTATTGTACAAATTATGCAATATGCATCAATCACAAAAAATTATAATTCACAACATTTGTATGATGTTATGATGGCATCATAGCTCTACTGAATGCCTACAATCATGGCATCTTTTTAGTGCATTTCTCTTATCCATTTATTTCATTTTTTATTTCATTTCATTTATTAAATTTATAGGCCGCCCAATCCCGGAGGACTCCGGGCGGCTTACAACGAAAGAAGAAAAAAAGAAAAGCAAAATAAGTNAGGCCTGCCGGAACAGCCAGGTTTTAATGGCTTTCCTGAAGGTGTTATCTGTTTGTTTATTTATCTGTTTGTATACTTTTTGGATTCAGATGACCAATATCCTATCTCCCAACTATACTCAAAATTGATGCAGATCATTTGTTTATTTTCTTATCCATTCATATAGGAGGCTGCAGCGAGCATAAATATGTTTACATATTTGCAAATCTTTACAGGTTGCAAAGAACCATCATATTTTAATACCATCAAGGGAAGTAACAAAGAATCTGTCCTAGGTTCCATTAGACGAGATAGTTTAAGCAAGGGGGCCCAGAGTATATCCTTCCTTTGGACTCCATAGGAGGGGCAGAAATAATTGGAATTGGACAGTCCTCTAAATAATCTGGCCTCGTCTCATGAAGGCTTCATTGCATTTTGGAATTATAACTTTTACAGGCCTGAAAACAAAAGAAAGCTGAAGTAAGGTCACAAGCAAGTCACAATTCTACTTAGCAACTTTTACTTAACAACACTTGGTTGGCCTGGAATAAGGACTGATGATATCTAATCCTGGGCCATTAGATGACCTCAGCCAGTAGCTTCATACAGAGATTAGGTGGGAGAGGGGGTAGAGCAATGGCTAAGGCTAAACTTCTAAGAAAGATTTATCTAACTCTCTATTTAGGACAACTGTGTCTTGACTCCTAATGTTAACCAGAAGAATAGTGACCAAGATATCTTTGGTGACGTTTGTGATAACTGTCGAATGGTATTAAACAATGACCAGCGGGACACTGATGGAGACGGCAAAGGAGATGCCTGTGATGAAGATATAGACGGAGATGGTGAGTCAATCTTCATTTCTGAGACATATTGAAAAATCATGTAGGCAACTCCATGTAGAATTTAGGGCTTTGTAGTTTGCATATCAACAATCACATCTGGGCAACTGTATTGTATTGTATGCTTTCAAGTATTTCAGATCTGCTTTCTCCTATCAGTTTATCAGAAAGCTACTTTTGAGTCAGATAGGCAGTGACCTCATTGCCACATCATGGTCAGAAGATGAGAGCACAGCCTTAGATTGAAAATCAAGCAGATCCATCTACATTCATTTTTTTGCTCTGATATTGGAGGCACTGAAATTTATAAAGTCATGCCTGTGACAGATCAACAGCAGAAAACTGAAGGTGCACAGATGACAGATTCTTTTTTTACTCATTTAACTAACAAAAAACAATTTCTTCCTGATGCTTGCAAGCATTCCTGTTTAATTGCCTTCACCTCATCCCTGCCTCTTGGGCTGGAACCATGATTGAGAGTTGGCAAGGCTTTGGATTCAAACTCTCTTCCAGCACACCTTCACCTAAACCCCATCATGTTTCCGTTTCCCTATTTCTTGATATTGAACAGATGTCTGGAAACAGTGTCAGTGTGCAGCAGGGGATTTTCGGCATCAGATTTCTGGTTGATGTTCCTTATTTCTGCTTCAGAAAGTGGACTCTGAATTATCCTGTGACCCCTGAAATATCTTCCCAGAAATAGTGTTTGTAGGCAATGTATTTTGCTGATTTTTATTTTTATGCTGACTTATATTTTAAATATTTATTGAATATTTTAATATATATATTGAGTCAGGCATATACTTTGACATATAAAACATGGACAGATGGATGGATATACAAGGACAGTTTTCCCCCGAATGCCATCACTCTGCTTAACAACTAATTCCCACAACACTGTCAATAATTTNGGGTTTCCTGCCTAAGCAGGGGGTTGGACGAGAAGACCTTCAAGGTCCCTTCCAACTCTGTTATTTTATTCTAAATGTGCATCATCATGTTGTGTAAACACTGCCTTTTTTGTACTTGTGTTACATTGCACACAAGTACCCGTATGAAATGGGTGGAGCTGGACAGAATCTTGGCTTGCTGTGTGTCAGCCCTTCAAGGTTAGCCTGGTCAGGAAACAGCCTCCTTTAAAGCCTATTAAAATTCTATTGTTTCATTGTATAATAACTGAATCTTGAAAGTCTGACAAGGTATTTTGCTCTTCCCTCTTATACCAAAGAGAATCAAGATGATTAACTTTCTCACCCTTCTTCTCTTTCAGTGTTTACATAACTGCTCTTGCACTCCTTCTTTTGTGGATGCCTCAAGTTAAAGTAGGGTTAGTTAATGACTAAATGGAAGGAAGGAGTGTATAAATTAACCTATATTATTAAATTAGAGAGTTCTCACTCATCATCTGCACCATTTGTATAATTATGTCAATAGATAATATAAATTATTTTTTATCCCTTTTGCTTCAGTTTTTTTTACTTGTATCAATTTATGCCATTTGCATTATTCATGTCATTTACAATGATATAATTATCAAGGGCGTTTATGGAAGGTATTAAAGAAACAAAGACCATGACAACAATAATTTAATCCCAGTTTTAAAGTAAAGTTTTAAACTTTACTGGCAATTATCTTCATGTCTGGCTTCAATTACCACTGACATCTGTCAGCCCTTTAAGGTAGACCACACTAGGAAACCAATGCCACGTGGCTCTGTTCTACTTTTATTATAGAGCTATGTAACAGAAATTTGCAAGTCTGAATGTGCTTCCCTCCCTTTATCTTCATGTGAACTAGGGAGGAGCTTATCTACAATATTTACTTTCTTGTTCTGGACTCAGATCCCTTTTATCTATCTGTTGTTTTGGTAGTGGCTCTTCCTTTTGTCCTTCAGGCCATTCTTTCTGCTGTGAATGGAGATATATCTAGCACTCTGTGAGATGACACAATGCCATGGTTTTTACTCATATAAGAATATAACCCATATCCTTACATTTGGGGACAGACTTCCCACATTTGGTGACATAATATAACTTGCTTCTGACTTAGCTTCACTATTAGTTTCACTCAGCTTCAATATTAATTGAGCTGGCTGGAATGATGGAAATTTGTGTTCTATTATGTTTAAGAGGCAGTGCAGTATAGCAATTAAGGTGTTGCACTAGGACTGGAACACCAGGCTCAGGCCTTCTTCAGTCAGGGAAGTGTATGGAGTGACTTTAGGCCAGTCACACTCTCTTGGTTCACACGCCTCACAAAGTTCTTGGATGGAGTATTATCTCAATCGCCTTGGTTAGGATGGTGGGATACAAGCAGATAGATAAATAAATTGGGAGTAAAGGATTGGAAGAGATTGCTTGGGAACACAGACATAGGAATTAGCATATTGTGTATGTGTTTTTTTTCCTACCTTGCTGTATCCTAGTGATGGGGATGGACACCAAGACAGCACTGATAACTGCCCCACAGTCATTAACAGCTCCCAGCTTGACACTGATAAAGATGGTTTGGGGGATGAGTGTGATGACGATGACGATGATGATGGAATTCCTGACCACGTCCCTCCAGGGCCTGATAATTGCCGGCTGGTTCCTAATCCAGGACAGGAAGATGAGAACAGTAAGGCCATTCTCTTCCTTTTCAATCCTCATTTATGATTTCGTTTTTGAATTTACTGTTGGTGACCTAGTGCTTCATTTCCCTGAGCTTTTCTGGCTTTCATGGGTTTCTCTAGTCTTCTTCTTTACTGTAAAAGTAAAGGTAAAGGTTCCCCATACACATATGTGCTAGTCGTTCCCGACTCTAGGGGGCAGTGCTCATCTCTGTTTTAA